TGAATTAGCAATATGAATTAAGCATTTAAAGTTTAGCCTGTAGAACCATGTGTTGAATTTTAACCTTTTTACTTAAGAAACCTCTGCCATAGTACAAAGGGCATAGGAAAATGCAAATTTCTGAAGCTTCTTGCATAAAGAACAATACCAGAGAAGACCAAGGGATGCAAAGAGCCCAGATAAAGGGATTCCTCCGTCTCCAAGCTAATCAAGGCCAACAGTCGTACTCAGATAAGCACCAAGGGACCAAAAGCACATGCGCAAAAGAGAAAAGTTCAAAAGTTCAGTCATGAGGAAGACCACAATCTTCAGCCTCAGAGACCACAACAGCAAACAACACATGCCCAGAAGGGCATGGATCTGATTACCATGCGAGGTGAGAACAGGCAGGGCCAGGGCTTGAATATGCCTAGCAAAGTTGTACAATGTATTGCATATGGAATACCTTTGTGAATAAAGATGTGGCTCAGACTGAGGCTCGGGGCACAAGTTTTCATGAGAGTTATCTCGCTTGTGGGGGGCACTGACATGCACACCCACTTCATACCTATATCTAGTTGTAAAGTTTATTTATTCTGCATATCGCTTCACTTCAGGCGGAACAAGCCAAATGGCCTCACCCACTTCTACAGCTTCTCCTCCAGAGTCTTCCCCATCCTTGCGACCATACACAGATATTTAGGGATGCAGGGATTTCTTCCCTCTGTGTTGACAGTATCAAAACTGACTTGCAACTTTATGGAATTAAAAGTCTGTAAATACAAACCTGACATGAATTTATTTCCCTACATTAGTCTCTTATTTTTTAAGCCTCCCTACAACACAGCAGAAAGACTGGAAAACTGCCTTTGGGAAAGTGGGCTGTGCAAGTCTGATGGCCAATTCAGTGGAAAACACAGTAGGTTCAGCAAGGTTAATAGTGACAAATGCCAGTTCTATCCCCCTAACTGACCAGAAAACTGATAGAACAGGACAGACCAAGCATGATAATGGCACATTTTTACAAGAAGCAAGATCTTGAGCAAGCTCATACAATTTTTTTCTCCCTCAATTCAGGCCACTGATACAAGGCCAGAAGCAGATGGTAACTAAGAGTTGTAGATACAGCCATAGCAGAAAATGATTAGGTTTAGAAAAACCTTCATTAAACTTCTCCATCATACATAATGCTTAATGATGCTGATTCTGCTTCCATACTGAAGTTGTGTGTGATGTAATGAAGAATGTTACAGCTTCAGTGTTCAGTTTGGAAAGTAGCACAAGATCATTGCAGATTCTAGCAAGTGCTACATATCATTTGCCCAGCAAGCATAGTACATCTTCAGTTAAACTTTTACAGAATGATCAGCATGAACATTTATCTAAACTTTTAAAGTGATAATTTGAAAATAATTTTGTTTCATAAAGGCCTTAGCATAGACTAATGTTTGAGAATAAAACATTCCTTTTAAATTTCTAATCTCAAACATCTACATTTTTCTGATTTCACAGGGAAAGTCTGATAGATATTTACAGTTATTAGTAAGAGATTTTTAAAATGTTTCTGAACATCAAACTATGTTCATACATAACCAAAACAACCATAGCAACCAGGACAGTGACCACATCCCCATGGCAGTGACACACTGCTGCTGGTAGTAGTGTTTCTATTTAAGGCTTAGAAGTCACTCTTGACTAAGCTTGTACCCAAACTACAGATGCAAATTTCTTAGTATTTACTATGACTCAATCTCCAAACATCATTTGCAATGAATAACTCTGTATTGCATCAACAGAGTATTGCCAACTAATATCTAGGGAATGACACATCTTGCTAGCAGGCTGACACACAGCCTTGCTACTCCATGTATCCTCTAGTAGTTCCCCTGCCCCCATCACTGGGAACACTCTTTCAAATGAAGCTATAGAATTTTGCATATATTCTTACCAAACAAGCTGTAGAAATTCTCCCAAACTGGGATTAACCAAGCAATACATCCAGCTCTTATATTATTACAACTCCTCATTGCACAAAAGGTTACTCTATGTATTAAAATCTAGCATTCTGTACTGCCAGCAGTACAGACATTCATTGTGACTGAGATGTTTTCTTTGAGACTTGGTAGAAAAGTTAAGATGGTTAATGAAACAGAAAATAGACTGCAATTTCTCAAGTGCTAAGGGTGAGAGCAAAGCAAAATGACAATCTTGGGTGACATGGATGTTGTCTTGCAGCATATGACTTTGGAATTTTATTCAGCTCTACCCAAGAGGAAAATGACATTTCTACAGCCTCAAACTTTAATACTCTAAATACAAGTCTTATTATTCTGCTTGCCTGTGAACATCTTGCATCCATACGGTTGCTAGCTTAGAGATAACCAGGGGAAATGTTCTCAACAACAGGAAACTACTATCCAGGTAGCATTTAAAGGATTTTCTCCAGTGGAGAAAATCATGCTATGAGTTGTCTAAATTAACTTCAGAGTAATGGAATGGAAATTACAAGTTCAACTTGTAAATATTACATGCTCAGGGCAAAATTTGCACTTCTAAAATATACTCAAGTGATCATCCCAGATACCAAAGACTGGGTAATAACTGCAGACCAGCCACAACACAAGTGGCAGGAATGAGCTTCCTAACAAAACCCAAACCACCTCCAGCTCTGGGAATATCATGACTAAGAGCATTATTTGTCTCAATGCTCGCTGGTTGTTCTGAACAACCAGCAAGTCACCCATGAGTGTGATCTACACTGGGACCATTTTGTATGTCATAACAATCACTTAAAAGCACCAACCAAGCAAGGCTGGATTTAAGCCAGCAGCTATGAGGTACAACAGCCCTTGTTGCCAACTGTAAAAACAGTGAAGAGACTTTCCACAAAAGTGTTATATTTTCCTGCCAGCTTCAGCACCTCACACTGCTTGTAAACAGGGCTCCCCATAGCCTGGGCCACGTCATGCACCATGCACTGCCACATTCCCTGTGTACGCAGCTGGCAAACAGAAGCCAGGCTAATAAAGGGGTTGCTGGTTCCCTCCTTTTGGCTGGGGAAGAGGGTGGTAACAGCAGCACATCCCTCTGCCTGAGCTCTCTACATTCACCAGGACCAGGTGGGACCAGGTGCCTGTCTACATATAATTTACAGTCACATTTGACACTACTGTGGAGGTCTCAAACCCTTCCTGCACAAATCAAGAACAAGATAGAGTGCCCCTCCTGTCCAAAAATAACTGTAATCAATGTTACTCATCAGCTACAGAGCAGCAGGTCAATCCACAGGGGTTCTGCTCTAACATACATATTTGTTTGGCCAAATCTTGATGTACTGAACATATGTAAGGACCACAAGGCATCCATACAACACAGGAGCTGTAAGAAGGTGTCAGGGAGAATTATTGCCTTATCATGATAGGGAGCTGAGGACAGACCCACAACAAACATCATGAACCCTTAGTTGCATCACTCAAGGAAGCTACTTACCTCTCCTGAAGAAATCCACAAGAGAGATTTCATACATGGAGAAGGGCAGGTAAGGCACTCACACAGCCTTTTGTACTCCATGTGTTCACTGCTACATGTTCAGTGTTATTCCCATGCACTGCAAAACCTGCAAATCTACACTCAAGTGGTTTTCAAATCAGAATCAAGCCAACTCCTTCAACCAAAAAAACCTACTGAAGCTCTTGATTCTTTAAATTGTTGATTGCCATCAACTTTCAGACACAGAGTATGAGATGGCATCAGTTCAGAGTATTTGCCTGTTCTCAAGCAAGGAATGTTGAGAAAGTTACATCCAGGATACAAAAAAATCATGAACTTGGAGGGAGAAGGATGTAGGCAAAACTGAAGACTGCCATGAAGAACCAAAGGCAGGAACCCTCAAAGCAAAAAAGCACCAGGTGGTGTGGAAGACCAGAACTATTAGTCGTGGACAGAGAAGTCAGAACTAAACTCATGACATATATGAGTACTTCAGGAATGACCTCTGTCCTTAATTTCATTCCACAGAGTATGGTAAGCATAGTATGCCTAGGCTTTTTAGCTTCCCAGATTAATGGAAAAATGTTTCCATATGCAGCTCCAAGGGTAAGAAGAGGCTATCTATGGGATAAATAAATTGCAGTTCTGTCTTGTGGAACTGAAATCTTACTCTAAATAAACTACAACTAAAAGCTGTCCTCAAACAAGGGAAACCTGTAATTACTTGTTTTTCCCCAATCTGAATAAAATAATTTTGCTTTCAGAAGTAGCTTTACTGGCTGGGTTAAGATAATGACTCAATGTAGAACTACCCTCCTCATGAACAGAACACCTCTGCCTTGAAATAATAGCTGAGATTGACTGATCACAGCTGTTAAGATACATTAAAAATCTCAAGGCAAGTCCATACCAGGTAGTTCCAAAGAAGATATGATTACATGCCTTCAGAACAAGGTAGTCATAAGACACATTAAATGCAGATTTGCAATATTTTTAAAGACTGTTTTTTAAGCACAAGAATATGCAAGCCTTGCTGTTTCCCATAAAGGCAGGTAGGCTCACTGATGTGTATCCATTCATCCATTTGGAAATGGGTCACAGCACCAGCTGATCAGAACAGTCATTTACTTCCACCATCAAAGCAGAAAACCCTTCCAGAGGAGACAGCCATCAAGGGAGTTCAGACTCCTTACACAGGAATATGGAAACCCAAAAGGATGCTGCTTGTGATCACTTCAAATGCAAAAGATTAGAGGCATTGGGCACACTTGGGCATATTATCATTCTAAATACATGTTCCTCCAAGTACATACCATGTCACAGCCTAAACTGCAGGAGACACCAGGAACTTTCAAATCTTTTCTAAAGGGTTAAGTGACTCCATTATATTTTTCATACCTTCTTGCTGGCTGCATGATAACCATTCTCAGAGAACATTCAGACTGACACTGCTGTATTTGAGAGCTCAGAGGAAACAGCAGAAAGTAATTCTGATAAATCTTGCATAAAAGTAAACCAATGAGAAATAGCAGTAAAATGTTTAATGCCTGTAATTTATTGTACACATACTCGGCAAAATGTATATGCATTTGGTGTGTGCTAAAGTATACACTTCCTTGACAGCACCCGAGAGCAGGTAAGCTATGTACGAGTTTTTAACCTGATTTGTCACATTGTGTAAAAAGACACTGTGCACACATGATATCCCCAAAGGAAAAAAAATCATTGGCTAAAACTAGAAGCACCCTTATTTACACACTAACACTTTAATATTGCGTCACACCCACTCACCAAAATAAATAGAAGTACATTCATCACAATTTAAACACCAGTCTCTCCATATATTTATTTTCTGACATGTTTTGGTCTCCAGAAATATGCTATATCTAGAAATATGTATCAGCTACTAGATTATGTTACAAAATGCAAAAAAAAAAATAGAAAATTAGTTTTCCTGGACAATATTTTGGGCTTTACACAAAAATAAATCCAGATTTCCATAGAGATCTCATATACTTCTTGAAAGATTTTTATTTTAAAGCACAGCACAGAGTTGCACACTAAGGCTTCCTGTGATATGCAAAACCCTGGCCTCCAAAAGACATCGCTGTAAAGTGAAATACAGCTCAAGTGTAAATACAAGACATTTTCAAAAAGTAGTCATCAATAGAAAGTGCCCTTCATTTGATTTAGCATTAGCAGTAAAGAAGTAGCTACCTTAATTGTGCAATCAAAGCCAGACCTGGAAGGGTTTTATGAAAAGTACGTCATTTCACACTCTCAAGTTTAAGGATATAGAATCTGAGATAGCAGAAACCAACCTTTTTATCCTCCTACATTCATTATTTTTTGACACAATTTAGTAAAAAGGCACATTGTCAAACGGTGAATTAAAAATCTAAAACCAAACCAGAATTTCCTTAAATACAATTAAATCATTAGCTGAACATCCAATCCTGATAAACCAATGTAAGCATTCTTCCAGTTTTTCTTCATCTCAAATTCAGATGCACTTTGGAAGTACTGAAATACTGTCATTAGATAAATACTATTAATCTGGCAAACAGTAAACAGGTTTTTGGATACAAGGTCAGGAATTAAAAAACTAGTTTAGTTCCTTCCTAGCTGACATACAAATATGCCACAAATATGCAAGCACATTAAAAGCCAAACATTTGTACAAAATAGGAAACCCATCAGCATCCCATGCCAATTATGAGAAAGTACTTCTTGACTGTAAAATTACAAATGTGTCCTTGAATAATTTTTCAGATGGAATAGACAAAACTTAAGCAATGATCACTGTGTGAAGAAAGTTATGCAGTGTCTTAGGGAGGCTAGCAGAGTACATTCCAGTCACCATCTACATGACAAAGTGCTTTACAGATTAACATGTTTAACTGATCTTGCATGGTTAAATAATCAGAAAGTGGTGAAATAATCAGATTTTACTTAAAAAACCTGCATTTGTCTGAAATACGGATTTCTTTCCCAACTGAACCAATTTCAACTTAATATATTTCTTTTGCTTCATAAGAGACTTTTTTCTCCCCAGCCAGGTAGGAAGTTGCTCACAGATGATATAGCTGTCTGGGTTGATGGACCTCGAGTCTTTCTCCAGCTAAAAAGAATAAAAAAGTACAAACCCAGAACTTGATCATGGTCCCAAAGCCTATTGTCCCGAATGGGTAATTCTAGAAGCCAGGAAATCTCCAACAGGAAATTTGAGATGGTCCCAATGCAGCAGAGAATACAACACACTTCTAGACAGTGAGGCTACACTATCTTGCATGGTCTCAAGAGCATACACTGAGAAACAGGTTTTGTTAGTTAATAGAGAAAGTTAGAGCAACAATGGTATCCTCACCTGGGCTCCATATTAGCCAATACTGAGATAGTCTAGAGAATCTATACCAGTAACTTACATCAGTATTTTGCTGAGGCAGTGAAGTGGTACACCATTGACAGAAAACATCTAAAAAAGGCAAAGCTGTTTTTTCTTACATTAAGAATCAGATGTTTAAAATTCAGCAGCTTCCAAGACTGCTCCTTACAGTTGCTATCTGAACTGCTTCCTAGAAGCAGCAGTGTTAAGAATAGCCCCAAGAGGAAAGGTTCCTTTGTTGTTTCTCCACAAGGTAATTTTTCTTTTTTCCCCACCCCCAACCAATGCCCAAAGCCCTTTTTCTATTTCTTAACCTATTTCTAGCATTAAAACATAATGGCCTGAAGCAGCTGAAGGCAGATGCTACCAATGGAGTCCTGGAGCTTGAGGCAAAGCTGAGTAGTGACACTGGTGAGCTTTGAAGGGCAACTTGGGGAAACCCAAGTAGATGCAACACCAGATTTGACCTTCAGGTCTCAGTGCAACTTCTGTCGACTTACATGAGCCCTGTGCTGATTGTAAACAAATTCAGTTACTGAAACAAACAGTCTTTAAAATGCATAGTTAAAAATAATGTGCAAATATGGGCATTAAGGTAAGTAACTGAACTAAGGCTCCTGATATACATATTATTTTAGGTTTTTGGCTTGCTGAAATCAATCACAAGTATTAACTAGTTAACATGATGTTAATACTGAAAAGCTGCAAATGCATTCTAACAGAACTTAATTCTGATGTTCTTTCTGAACAGTAAAACTAATCAGATAAATGACTGCTTCACATTTTAAATAATTTAACCATCAGATGTTTAATGCAAGAAAAAACACAGTCTGTAAAGCAGCAGAAGCTGTTAAACAAATCTGAAAATTTACAGGGCAGGAGAAGAATTCCCAAGCATATGCTTGAGCTCAAAAGCACAGGTTACATACAAACACTAGAAATTTCTGTTTTCAGGGTGTGTGTTTTTCATACTGAATTAGACTGGCACTGGAATTCCAGACACAGCAAAAGCCAACAATCTTTTGGCTATATCCATCACTGCATGGTTTGCAAATGACATGCACTTTTCTGTTTAGAAATAAAGAAGTTCAAATTATTTTTATGGGTCCTCAAATCTAAAGATCTGCAGCACTTTATTGCCTTAAACACCTGTGGGCTGTGGTTGGATTTACACCCAAGCTACTGCTGTGCAGAAGATGACATTTTAACACTTTGAGGCTCAGGTTGGGAGATGGGGCAGGATACAGAGCAATCTCTCCAAGTCTCAAGAAATATCAGGGAACAAGAATGCTGTTCCTTTCTTTCAAGTGAATGCAAAATTGGTTTACTGGTACGTGGCCCACACAGTTCCAAGTCAGTGCATAGCTAGTCAATATTTCTGCTGGCATCTTGAACTGGTTTAATCAATGGAAAAATCTATTAATTTTATTCCATTTAATATGCATTAGTGCATTAATTTCTTCATTAAAAAACAACCCTGGCAAGTATTAAAAATAAATATCTTATTTAAGTCAAGCTAAAGCCTTGCTTTTCAGTACTTTAATCCCTTTAAATATTCTTTTGCCCGCTAACAAGCAAATGGAAACTGAAGTAGAATAGGAGATGTATGGAGGCAGAGGGGAGCAGAAACATGAACAAAGTCAACACCGTAAGTCAGTTAACGCGTCCTCAGCTTCTTAGACTGTCTCTTGCGTTTCAGCTCTTCTTCTTCCCGTCTCAGCTCTTCCAAGTCTTCCTGAACACCGAGTCTCAAGCTGCCAAACAAGATTAAATCCTTTACACTGCTACTCAGGGCACTTGAGGTTTTACTTCTACATGTCCAAAAAGCAATGCTAAAAGTACTACAGCTGATTTGAAGAATAATTTCATTCAGCTCTTCTTTAATTATAGAATTAATGCAGCTTTAAGAAATCAAGGTTTTTTTTTTAAATCATAAGATCAGAATTCAAGTATTTCAAGGGAAAAAGATATTTAAAACTTCTGTCAAAAAATAAAGATTTCATTAAAAAAATTAATACATTTTATACATAAGGTCTTTTTTTTCTCCCAAAAAGCAGCTACTGAAACATCCATTAGAAAAGTAAAATTGAATTTAACTCAAGTTTCTTATCTCCACTTCCTTTATGCAACATGGGTAGTTAAAAGTGAGTCAGGAATTCAACTCTGCAAAACCTTACTCTAGGATGTCAACAGTGTGGTTAACAGCAATATCACTTAAAAATTACCTTCATTTCTCCTAACTCCACTTAACAGACTATAGTGTTCCATGGGCTGCAGATATCCCAGGAGGAATAAGGACATTGACTGTAACTTCAAAGATACAAATTTCTAATGTTCAAGGCACCTTCTGAATAACTATATAGAACCAAAGAATTTGGGGACTCAATGCATTCCAATATTTGCATTTTCTATGGGAAACCCTTATAGCTTTCAAAAAGCTTGTCCCATCACTTATTTAAAAACAAAGAATCAGTTATCTCATAAGAATTCTGCAAGCCCAAAGGCCAAAACCAACGTGAAAATCACCTTCAATTTATATCAGTGACTATACAAGCTCGTCAGCATACTTTCCCTACTTCTATAGAAATAGACATACACATATGTATAGATAAGAACAAATAAAATTTCCAGTCCTCAAACTAGCAGAATATTGTAATGCTTGGGACCAATTAAAGAATTTGGAATTTCAAATTAAATGTATAATTTTAAAAATATTTTTTGAAATTAATTGGTTTTGTTTTTTATTAGTTCTTAACAAGCAAGATTTGTGAAAGATAAGGACATACACAACTTATTTAGTGTATCCACCACTGGCTGTATGAATTCCATCTTTTACTTAAGCTTTCTTATAAAAAACTGATAAGGCTTGCTGTTAAAAGCAGAGTGGATACTTGCTAGCTTAGCCCTATGACTTCAGCAATAAACAAACTTTGCAATTTGTATCCAAGTTCAAATCCATGCATACCTCCTAGCTTCTTCTTTCTGTTGCTCTCTCCAGCTGCTCTCCATATAACGTAAGGCATAATCACTTTCATCTTTGTACCTGAAAATTAAATATCAGTTTGTAGCACATTAAAAAATAGGTAATGAATTAATATCCCTTCTTAGGAAGAATAATTACTTGTTCTATTGCTTGTTCTGCAATATCTTAAAATTGTTACTTCTCTTACCTTTTCCGGTCATAGCCAAATATTTCCCGAATATGTTTTGATATTTCTTCTTGAGATTCCCCTTCATCTTCAATGAAATCATCCATTTCAGAGTCATATTCATCATCATCATCATCTTCTATTTGTCTCTTGTAACTAATAGGTGGTCTTCCAAGACCTAAATGACAAGAGACAAAATCATTAACTAATGACATGAACATAATTTTAATTTAACAGTACTTCTCCTTGCTATACCTTGGGCATAGCCATTTTCTGGGCTTCACGGTGGAAAACTTCTGCCTCAAGTTAACCAGCATTTCTTAGAAATTCAGCAAGAGAAAACACTTCCTGAGTTGTGCTAGAGGAGATTACCTATCAGGATCAGCAATGGCATCCTGAGGAAAGCAGATATCTGTTCTTTGCTCAGGGCTTTCCAGGCACTTATTCACTACACTCCACACTGCTTGCACCTGATCAGAAATAAATTTTTAGAACAGCTTGTCACTGATAAGATAAATCTGCCAAAACACTGAAATGTAAAACCTGTGAGTGATTTTTCATCTAGCCCTTCAAGCATCTGTTATTTAAGACACAACAAAGTTTTATAGACCAACTATTAAGCAATGCTGGCAGCAAATCCTTCAATTCTTTTCTTTCTAACAGTATTCATATACCAGTATCCATCACAGGCTGCTTAGTTTTCTTTCATGTGATACTTTACACCACCTGTATTTCAAAAATTACAAGCATAGGTAAAAATAAGTAAAATAAATTAAAAGCTGCTATATTTAATTTTATTTCAACTATTGAACTGTTCTTATCTGAGTTTCACTTGGGTTTTTTCCATCTCTTCTCCCCACTGGGGGACAGGGCATGCAAGCAGCTGCACAGTATTTAGTTGGAGTTAAACCACAACAATGAAAAAATGCTTTGTTCTATAAATGCATACCTTGTGGATGAAGCACAGGTCTATGCCCTGGAAAAGGTCTCATTCCATTCATCTGTCCATTGCTAGGTCTTGTGATGAGGTTTTTAGAAGAAATGGTTTCTGATACGACAGTACACTTGGGTTTCCCAGCTGCGCCCGGGCCGCCGCCTGGTCGCGCAGCTCCTGCGCTTGTGCTGATGCCCGGCCTCCCTGGGCCAGTGCCCAAGCTGCTGCCTGGCTGCCTGGCCCCTGTGCTTGGACTGATTCCTGGCCTTCCTGGTCCTGTTCCCAGGCTGCTGCCCGGTCGCCCTGGTCCTACATTTGTGCTGCTGCCCGGCCTTCCCGGTCCAGTGGCCAAGCTGCCGCCCGGTCGCTTAAGTCCCACACCTGAGGCGCTGCCCGGTCGCCCAGGTCCCGTGCTCGAGCTGCCCGTCGGCCTTCCCGGTCCCACGCCTGAGCCACCTCCTGGTCGCCCAGGTCCTGTGCTTGAGCTGCTGCCAGGCCTCCCAGGTCCTGTGGCTGAGCTGCTGCCCAGGCGCCCAGGTCCTGAGCTTAAACCACTTCCTGGCCTTCCCGGTCCCACGCCAGAATTGCTGCTTGATCGTCCCGGTCCTGCACTTGAACCGCCACCGGGATGTCCAGGTCCTCCTTTTCCTAAGCTGCTGCCAGATCGCTTTGCATTGGAGTTGATTCCATGTTGAAGAGCTGCAGGTTTTCCTGGTTTTGCATGGGCAGGCTTTTTCAGGCTGGATTCTTTCACAGATGGCATTCTCTGAGCCCCATTGGCCGTGGGTTTTGAGGGTGGCACCTGAGAGCTTGAGCCAGACTTTCTAATACCATTGACAGGTAATTTATTATGACTGCTACCAGTAGAGCTTTTTAAGGAACCATTTTGTGAGGTTTTTTCCATTTGATCGAGTCTGGAAGAAGATGATGACCGTGGGTGTTTTTCAGTCAATGCTGGTGCTTTGGATTTCTTATCAATACTACCCATAGAAAGAGACAGACTGCTTTTAGATGTGGAATGTTTATCTACAGAGCTTTTATTAAGTTTTGTGTTTACAGATGCTTTTTGAGAAGACAGTTTTTTTGAAGAACTGGATATCCCTGTAGGCTTAATCTCCTTCTCACTTTTCTTATGCATTTCTACTTTTTTGTTTTTGCGTCCCAACAACTCCCTCTCTCTCAATTCTTCTGCTGTTCTGGGCCTCTCTTCTACCTTTTTCACTGGTTTTATTTCCACTGGTTCATGTTGTTTCTTTTCAGCAAGCCTCAAGAGCTCTGCAAAGTTCAGAGGTGCAGGTGCACTTTTGGGAGGTGCCTTTGGTTTCACTGCAGCTTTGGATGGTTTCTCTTCATATTCTTCTTGCTCATGCTCAGATTCTGTCTGACTGTATTCAAGTTGCTCAGTTTCATCTTCTGTTGCATACTCAGCCTCTGGGGCCTGAGCAACATTCTCACAAGCCCTCCTCTTTTTAGACTTCTCTTCAACAGGAACACCATTATAACCATAAAAGTTATCCTTTGTTCGTGAGGCCATAGCTCTTGCCTTTCTGTCATGTTTCAGTTCAATACGCCTCGCCAAGAGCTGCTCTTTCTTCCTTCTTTCTTCCAGTGCTGCAAGAAAACCAGGAGAAAGTTACACAAAAAGCACTACTTTTTATGTCAATATTTTCCAAACAAACCACTTAGGACAGTAACTTAAGGATATCTGGCTAATAGCTATCCAAAATAGATGAGAAAGTGAGCCCAGGTCTGCTAACAGGACAAGCTGACCCTCCTGTGTCAGCTGCTCCAACAAAGGCAAGCAATTGAGTGAAATGCTGCTCTAACAAAACCCACTAAGGCTTTCTGAGGGAAGCAGCTTTCCAGGATGCTATGAAAATTGTGGAGAGCCTTTGTATAAGGAGGTACAAAAGTTACGGGATCTCTGTGTAGTGGAGGGAGTTCTGAGACTGAGCAAGAGAATCTTGAGACTATACAGAACTTACAATCAAATGTTTAAAGGAAGTTGAGGAAGGGGAGAGAATAAGAGTATTGGGGGGATAATAACTGGAAAATAGCCTAAGTGTGTGTGTGTGTAGAGGGATAAAAGGGAGACACAGATGCAGCTGAACACAGATAAACAAGCAGCTGGTCATTACACAAGTCTGATAGAGCCCTGTGCCCTATCTCCACAGTCTGTCCTATATCCTTACTGTTCTGGCTTAGCTGTTGTCTGCATGAGTATGCTCTCTGTCTTGTGTCTGTGACCTGCTGACAAGAGTCTGGATGAATTAGCTGGTGAATGGGACATCTAAATACCAAATACTGGACAGACCAAGGAGTAGGGGCTAACTACCAAGATGATTCAGAAAACATAAAAATTCCTAGAAAATGGATCAGGCTACTCATACTTTGGGTGCCTATAAAGATACCATTCCTTGTCTATTGTGTTATTCTATTGTCAAGGGCTGTGAGAGCACAGAGTGTACCAGCATGCCCCCTGTGGAATTTGTGCTTAGTCTTGCTTCTGGACCTGGCAACAGGATTGAGGAACAGACTCATGACTGGTCCAGGAGAGGAAGAATAACCTGGGCCATCCAGTCCACCAGATTTGGTTACCTTTAACAAAACATTAACATCAAAAGCAATGCAGTACTAGTTTAAAACATGATTTCTCCACTTTTATACTTCCTTTAAATAGTCTACGGAATAGAGATTCTTTAATCTGGTGTATCAATACAGTGAATTTTAAGACAGAACAATGGCAACTCTTTCCATTTTTCCACACAAATGAACTTTTCAAAGTTAAGCTAATGAAAGTTGAGATAGCAGTTAAGGTGAAGAGCAAAAAACTACCTCAACCTCCAGCCATAAATTCTAATGTAGCTAAGTGATGTTTTAACCCCTTAGGAAAGCAAGCAAACGTCCCCAGCCCTTAGTTCTAGCTTTCTCTCAGCATCAGGTCTATGCATAAATTCCAGAAACAGATGTGCAGCTGTATTTGGAAGAAATTTGAATAAGGTGTCAAATAGCAAATAATAAATTAAAGTCTCCCATAGGAGATATTTTGTACTTTTACCTTTTTTTCTCTTTTCTTCTTCTTGCCGTCTGAGAAATGCTTGCACTGCTGCAGACTCTACACCTTTGACTTTGGGAACTTTTTTGGGAGGACCAACAGCCAAACTGTACCTTTTCTGCAAAGAACAAAAAAATATGTCAGAAGAGTTAAGAAATGTAAAAAATCTGTCTTTATAACTGAGGAGTTGCAGAACAGTCCTGTACTTGAGTTAAGCACAGAGTTGGTACAGAGTAAACAATGAATTCCCACTGAAACTGAGGGTTGTGCTGGATACATCTGACTCACAGTTGTACTTTCAGGCTGAGCAACCAGCCCCAAATCCTCAGGAGAAACTTGCAAGCTAGAAAGTGCCTGGTCCAAGGGAGTAGATGTGTCTTGAAATTTTTTTTTCTTCATAACCATCAGAAGAGCAAGATAACCAAAGTCCAGAACAAGATATCAGCACTAAGATAAGGACATTTGTCTTGTCTATACCATTGGCCAGCAGCCAACTACTTCACCCTATAAATATTGCCATCAGGATGGGCCTGATTTGAGCTCTGCCTGAACTGCAGCTTACCTGGATGCCAGGTGACCCCTTGAGCAGGGATGCCTCTCAGGGTTAGAAATTCCTTACCTGAAACTAAGAGATCCTTCCTTACCCAAGGTGGAAAGATTCCTTACTCATGACAGATCCTCAGCAGGTGACAGAGGATGTTGCATTAGTATTACGAAACATTACTAATCCATCCACCCCATATTATTACAAACACTGTATGGATAATTCCATTAGATATATACTATTGACCAAGCCTGAGACTAAGAATGGATCCAGCCACTCCAAACTGAGTTTAGAAAGCAAGGAGTCCACTGAGAACCTTGTGTTTCAACAGGACTGTACTTCTTGGTCTTTGCATTGCCAGTCCGTAAGAATTATCCTAAATGAGTTCATAAATGAATGACTTTGAACTCAACCTTCTTTTTTGTATGTTTCTTCCATTAATAAAATAATAAAATGAACCTTGCATTAAACCTTGTCAAACCCCTGTTGAACTTTGTTGAATTCCAGTGAATTGTCAAATCATTATTTTATCTCAGAACACCTATTTTATCTCATTGCTGCCTATCTTTTGAGTGAGATACAGTCACATGGATACATCCAGAATATGTGGATACATTCACAACAGGGCTCACTCAGCTTTTGGAAGGAATGAGCTGGAAACCAGAAGACAGGTAGGGAAACAAAATGAGTGAAATGAACTGGACTAATAAGGAATGCAATGGCTGCATTAGTAACAGAATAAAAGTATTTCAGTTCAGCCTTAGTCTTTGACCAAGAGGAACCAAAAGCAAACTACAGCCCAAGCTGCCAGAGTCAATTCAATTCCAGACTGCAGGTTTACAGCTCCATTTTTAGCTTGCTTGTAGACACTCATTTCAGTTTCAGGTTACCTAATTCGGCAAAAATAGATAAATCAACTCAAAAAATTTGAATTACTCCAAAAGCTGGAATGGACTTTACCAGCATAATAAATAGGCTGACGTAAAACCAACAACGCTGATTTTAGTTCCTGCTGGCAGTGACCTTAAACACAATACTGCTATACATCAAGGAGTTAGTGACCCACACACCAGCTGACCTGAAACTCTACTTATCACCTGAGCTCAGTGTGACCTCAGCACTAACTGTGAGAGAATACACAGCCCCTAGCCGGGCACCTGGCAATTACAGCACTTGCACATGGTGTAACTTGCCAGGAGAAGAGAAGGCTCCAGGGAGATCTTGCTGCAGCCCTTCAGTACTGAAAGGGAGCTTAAACAAAGATGGGGACAGTTTTTAGCAGAGACAGTAACAATAGGACAGAGGGTATTGGTTTCAAACTAAAAGAGGGCAGATTCTGACAAGAAGTTTTTTGAGGGGAACGGTAAACACTGGCTTAGATTGCCAGGAGAGGCTGTAGACCCCCCCCCCATCCCTGGAAACATTCAAGGTCAGGTTGGACAGGGCTCTGGTTGACCTGATCTGTTTAAAGATGTCCCTGCCCGTTGCAGGGGAGTTGCACTGGATCACCATTAATGAATCCTAGTCTGTGATTCTGTATCTCATTATATCCTGAGGTGAAGCTGCATGTTTTCATATAACATCCTTTTCCTTGGCAGAGGAAATGATAAATTGCACTATGAACTTCCCAGGACCTCCTGCAAAAGCTCTAAAGACTACAACACTGATTACATGCACCACAGACAGGATTTGCACAGCTTGCCATGCTTAAAAGTCTCTCCAGTGCTGGTCAACGTGGGGTTCCAGCAAGTGAACAGGTGTCAAGTTATCTATGCTACCCCTTTTTTTGCTTCTCTTATATCCAATAAAGGTTACTTAAATCAATGTTAAGTGCCCAAGTGCCTCTTACTGGGTTCTATAACAACCATTTGCACTAGTGTGCTGCACCTGTTCTGACACTTCCTTTCACAAATGTACCAGGTTGTGCCTGAAACAGGAAAAAATCAAGACATTTTTTTAACTTCTTCCCACAAACAAAATACAGAAGAAAAAACAAAGCAATGAGAGAGACAGTTGTAAAGATAAATGCAATAGAACGCAGTTAAACCCAGAAGCAGAAGGAAAGCAGAATACAGTAAGGAATAAAAGAAACCCCAATCCAAAACTGAGGTTTGAGAAGGTGGGGTTTTTTATTTCAAAAGTAAGCCAATAGATTAAAATCTAAACCAAGATCTCCCACATGAGACATTAAGATTCTCACCAAATGAAAGAGATGTGAAAAAAGACCCAAATAAAAAAAGTATCACTAAAGAGCCACACAAGTCAGCATTTCTATAAATATCTTTCTGTCCTCATAAAGCCTTGTGAAACTTAACTAAAATAATCAAAACAAAATATCTGGTAAGGAAACCTACATCCAAATGCTTTAGAAGCAATAATTAGACAGGCTGACAGCCTAACTCCCTATAAACATCAATATCACACAATGGAAGACTCCATTCTCATTTCTGATTCACTGATCAGCAGCACATGAATGGATCTTGGATTACTTTAATAATTAACATGCAAACTCATAAATTAGCTTGAATATACATGCACTAAGAAGCAAGGTTTGGAGGCTCATTTCTAAGCTGCATCCAAAACTGGCTCCAAGAAGGGCACCTACAATACCAGCCCCTTGTAGTCTTCTCAAGCAGTTTCTGAAATGACCAGAGCACAATTACTAAGGTGCACTATCCACATACATTGCATATTAAAATCTGCCATGTCACCTCATCACATTAAAGACCTACTACAGCCAAGCTCATTTACTGAGCTGCACCTCTCTGCAAGGAAGTTTCTCTCCACAACCTGAGAACCGACTTTCCTGTTTGCACCAAAAGCATCCAGGACTTGACTGCTCAGGAAACCTGAACTGCCATGCAGCACTGCCTCTCAGCTTTTGCTCAAATGTGGCCCATGGCTCTGTGTCCCAAAGAAACCTGGTTTACTCCATTTGAACTGGAGCAGACAGGGAGGCAAAGCAATCCACATATTATCAGTCAAAATCCTGTCAGACAGAGGTTGAAGCCAATTAGTACCTTAGAAATTATTTGCAGTAGTTTGCAGTATACTCATCTTAGTATAATGATGTCTCTCTAAATTTTCTTACAAAGTTAAACACATCATGTTTTGCCATTGGTAACCTAATTGGGCAAAGCTTCATTTAATTATTCCATTTCAACTGTGCCCTCAGTTTTGAAAACTCTATTTTAAAAACTGTGTAGTACTCAAGCATCTTTTCCAGCCTAAATGATTTTGTGCCTAAGGAGCATCTTTGGAAACTGCTAAACAGCAGAGACAAATGTAGATTGGTCTATTCTGTTGGGAAACCTTATAAAGAATTAAAGTGATGGAGAAGCAGTTTCCAGGCTTTGTTTTGCTGCACTGTGACTAACAGCCCTATCCAGGAGCAGGTTTGAAAAAGTAGCTGGACAGACAAGCTCGTTTCTGACTGCTGTTAACATGACAGATCGTGCAAAATTTAAATTAAAATTTTCAATCAGTAGCATTTCTTAATATTGACTAACAACTGAAAATACAGAAAAAAATAATAAATGAATATCTATTTTCTGTACTATTGCTGATACAAATCTTGCTCACTTCCATTCAGTAACAGCATAAAATAACCTGCTGAACTGTAGCCTTTCTAAAAGCACTGAACCATACACTTGTTCTGCAAACACCAATAAAGTGTTTTACATGTAGTGCAAATGAATATGCATCAGACTGCAAGTAAAGCAGGCCAAATAAGCCGGCACACATCACTATACCATCCAAACAGCAGCTGCACTATTCTGGCTTTTAATAACTATTGCTAAGTTGGTTAAATCAACAGAGGAATAGAAATGTTTAGCCTTTAGGAAAGAGCAGGTCATGCTGTTCCCAGAACACTGCACTCTTCAAGCTGTAAACAGTGACTATTTGCTTTGAAGTCACTGACTTCCTGCAAAACGCGGCACATGATCCTGATGGAGTTGTAGCTACTTTGATGTCAGCATTCAAGTACCAAATCCTGGACTATAAAACAGAATTTATAAAATAATTGCAGACTTTTTGGCACCCAAATCAAGTCACAAGGGGCCTAGACCAAACACAGACAGTCAGAAGTAGCAGTAGTAGGATTGCCTTTAACAATGGTCAGTATTTACACAGGTGGCAATGCAAGATCAATGCAAGTGATCAATTCTGCCGAACCCAATTCTCAAGTAGAGCACCTGAGCAGCTCCGTTACTGCCATGAGCTTGCACATGCAGTGCAAAGACAATTCCACTTGTGTTATCCACTGCAGACAACTTGCAGGGGCTCTCACAGGCTGGGGAGATTCTTTTATTTGCTTGTTTTTCACTAGCATGTTACAACACTTTGCCTGTTCTTCATAGATCATTTCTTCCTTATCATTTGCCAAGACATGTAACCTTCTCCAATGGGAAGTCCCCATTTCCCCCCAAATATTCCTCAAGGTTGTCTTAAGTTGCAATGCAAGATGTAACCAGAACTATGTACTCTATCACCACCTGTGGGGCAGTGTTCTTTATCTCTTCCACAACCCATCCTCCATCCAGGGAGATATCTGCTGTAAATGGGCCACTGAGACTCACTGCATGACTGATGCAAATACATCACCTCATGGTGAGATTTTCTGCCCGGGGGGAGGAACAATTCCTACCTAGATGAAAATCTGAGAATTGGAACACCAGGGGAGCCTTTTCCACTAAATTCCCAAAGGAAGACCAGGCCCATCTACACCACCACTGGACCTTCAAAGAAAAACTACACCCTTCTGTAGGATCATTGCTTCAACAGAACCACATCTGTCACTGCAGGAGGGCTGCAGCCACCATTTAATCAGACTGCTACCAACACCCTGACACACCCACAGGGTGCCAGGTCATATTCTCACTCTGTCTGTGTTTTTTGTATTATTGCATTTTTATTTTAATTTTCCTGGTAAATAATTGTTATTCCTCTTCCCATATCTTTGCCTAAGAGCCCCTTAATTTCCAAATTATAATGATTCAGAGGGAGGGGGTTTACATTTTCCATTTCAAGAAAGGCTCCTGCCTTCCTTGGCAGACACCTGTCTTTTCAAAGGCAAGGGTATAATTTTCTGAGAACATCAGGAATGGTTCATCCTTGTTTGTGTCACTCCTCTGGCAATGCCAGTCCCCCAAAAGGCAGCATCCCACATTGTAAGTGGCCGTTTGTGTTCACTGCCCAGGGGCCTCTCTGCCCTTCATCCTGAACTGCTATTTCCAAAGCTTCTGCTACAGATTGGCCACGGGGTTCCCAGCAGCTGACTCTGCAGTGAGACTGTCTTAGAATACACACA